CAGAGATTTACCTACCTCTGCCTCCTGAGTGCTGGGATTAAAGGTGTGTGCCACCACTGCTCTGCTATGTAGTTGTATTTTTTAACAAAATAAATATGGACTTTCTAGCCTAATTTTTATTTATCTGTTTTAATAATAGTCCAGGATCAGTTACTTTGGCTTCCAAAAGACCCAATGTAAATTTAGTTTTACTGCCCCCCATTATCCCCAGCCCCCTTGATTTTTTCTGAGACAGGTTTCTTTTATGTGTGTGGCCTTGGCTGTCCTAGAACTGTCTCTGTAGACCAGATTGGGCTGGAAGTCAGAGATATGCCTCCTGAAGTTACAAGATGTGTGCCACCATTGCCTGGTTACATTTTTATGTTAATGTTTTCATCATTTCTGTTCTTATCTGCCTGGTTGCTCAGGCTTCTGAGTTTGTCATGAATGCTCTCTTGGCATGAGAAAGTTTGATCTTATATTCTGCATGCAGAAGGGACACATACTATACTATCTGCAAGGACATGTTCACCTTGGTTGTCAATTACTGAGAATCATATTTTTGGAGCAGAAGGTTTCTTTCATGTGTATTTAGCCTAGACCTATTTACACAGATCAGGATGTTCTATTTCCTGATATATGCCTGCCTTGCCCTCCTCCTTGAGTTCTCTGACTAACAGTGGGCACCACCATGGCAGGCAGTTTCTTCTTGGTGTCCTACAACCACAAACAATCACGTTCCCATTAGCTCATTATAAAATACACCATTCATTTGTGGGATTCAGGATAATGTCTGACTTTCTACCATGATATCTGACTTGGTTTGTAGAGCATGAACTTTTATCTAGGTAATTGGACTAAACAGAAGATACTGGCCTGAGTTGTCCCATGATATTCAGTGACCTGGAGTAGAGGGGTGAGCATGAATATCACCAGAAAACTAGTGTGTGCCTTTCCCTTATGACTAACCTTTTTGTTTGTCAGAGAGGAAACATTTTTGTGGACCAGCCAATGCAACTAAGGGAGGAGATACTGCTCAGGTGCACTAAATTATTAACTTCCACAAGGTGGCACTCTACCCCTGGTATGCACAGTCACATTTCCAAAGGACATTGTGATCTTTGGCCAGAAGAGGGCATAGCAACACCACCCTTCCATCTCTGTCTCTGTCTCTGTCTTTGTTTCTGTCTCTGTCTCTCTCTTTCAATATAGATATATATGTATATATATATCATATGCATTCCCCAACCAATAGCCTAGGTATTGGAAAATGAAGTAATACTAGTCTAAAAGAAAAAAAGAAACATATTGATAAAATGACTTTTAATGATATTCTGACATACTCATAGATCAATTTCTTGGTCATCCATCATCAGAGAAACTTCCTCCTGCAGCAGATTGGGGCAAATACAGAGACCCACAGCCAGACATTGCATAAAGAGTGAGAGCCCTTGGAACACTCGACTGTAAAAATGGGATATCTCCATGAAATCCATGCCCTCTAAGCTCAGAGAACCCCATGGAAGAGGGGTCGAAAATAGTTTACAAGCCTGAGGGAATGGTGCACATCAAGAAAAGAAGGCCCACTAAATAAACATGAGCAAAGCTTTTATGGATTCATGGAGACTGAAGCAGCATGGACAGGGCCTGCACAGGTCTCCACTAGGTCCTCCAAGTCCATATTATGGGTTCCATTATAGTGTTTTAATGGGATTCCAGAGTGTGTGAGTGAGTGGGTCTATGATTCTTATGGCTTCTCTTGGGATCTTTGCCTAGTATTGATTTGTTTTGTTCAACTTGGATGTGATAGTTTTTGCTTTATCTTATCATACTTTATTTTGATATACTTTTGAAAATTAATGAGTGAATGATTTAATAAATGAAAACCTAGATACTATTATAAAGGTTAAAACTGAACTGTCATTTATACCTGCTGAGAGAGAGATAAACACTTTTCTCCAGTAGACTGACACTGTATATGCAAGACAGGCCTCATTTTCAGGAGTAATTAATCAACATATAATGGGCTGCTCAGTGTGTGTGTGTGTGTGTGTGTGTGTGTGTGTGTGTGTGTGTGCGCTTTTATTTGGTTACCGTTTGGTGATTTTGTTTGTTTTCTTTTTGGGTTTGCTTTTAATTTATTTTCTTGGTTTTTGGAGGATTTTGTTTTTTATTGTTTTTTTGTTTGATATTTGAGAAATAACTTGAAGTTCGGTGGATAGGAAAGCAGGAGGATTTAGAAGGCCTTCAGGAAAGGGAAGAATTTGCTAAAATGTATTTAAATAATAAAAATTTAATAAGAGGGAAATAAAAATGTATTTGTAAATTGTTAGATTAGATCTCATACTTAAAAGGCAGAGAGAGTCATTCAAAAGGTGATATGGCTATTCCAAATTTCTTAATGTTAACTATCAAGATGTTTGATAAAGGTATATATGTATAAAATCATTGTTGTCTTGGAGAGCCTCAAATAATACAAGGTATTACTACTACACTTGATTGCACACCAGAATAGTTACACTCTATTGCCTAAGAGAATACACTCATTCGACATAGGACATAGAGAATCAATGTGGTACTGACCAGGAAGTCCCTCTTTCCATGATTTTTTTCTTTTTTTGTTTTTCCAGCTCATTTTTTATAGTAATGGAAGGTGTTATACAATTTCTAAGGAGTGGAGAGTCTTCAACACTGATACCCAGCTGTGAGGCCTGTGGTCTGCTATAATAACCAACATGTGAAGCTGTACCCATGGGTGCAATAGTGATATGAATGTTATGGGTGCATCCAGCTGCTTTCTGCTTGGATTTGAAGTCTACTCCACAGGAAGAAACAGAGGTCTTGTTCTATGAATCTGGCTAAGAACCTATGTTTGGAGAGGGGCTTACATGTCCCAGGGAACTTACTAATAACATTTTCAGACTGAAAAAATACAACTGCCTCTTTCATTTTATATAAAAAGGACCATAATTCTTATCAGAATGCATCTCTTCTGCCTCTAATATGATCAATCACTATTCACCATACACAAAACTGTGTCAACATACCTGTGTTCATATCTCAATCAGCTATGAGCCTGCAGTAGGCCCACAATCATGGAATCTCTAGTATCCTGAAGAAGCTGGCCTGATAGAAAGATGGAATGGCCTTTGGTCTTTTAAAGACACAGTTACAGTACCAATAGGGTAGCAGCATCTTGAGGGCTGGGGCAAGGTTCTCCAGAACGCAGCATATGTTCTGAATCAGCATCCAATATATGGCACGGTGTTTCCTATAGCCACGATCCATGGGTCCAGGAACCAAGGGGTGAAAAGGGAATATTTACAATCAGTATAACCCCTAGTGACAAAATAGGAAAGTTTTTGTTTCCTGTTTCCAGAAACCTAAATTCTGCTGACCTAGAAGTTTTGATTCCAGAGTGGGGGAGTGCTCCTGCCAGGACGCACAGCAAACATTCCCATTGAACTGGAAACTCAAACATCCCCCTGGTCATTTTGGGCGTCAAATGCTCTTAAACCAACAGACTAAGAAAAGAATAACACCATTAGGAAGGGTGATATATCCAGATTACCATGGTGACATTGGATTTTATCTCACCAATGAAGGCAAAATGGGTTATATCTGGAATGCAGAAAATCCTTTAGGGCATCTCTTGGTGCTACTGTGCCCTGTGATTAAAGTTAATGGAAAACTACAACAATATAATTCAGGAAGGATGACAAAAGGCACAGAACCATCAGGAATGAAGGTATGAGCCACTTCTCTAAGAAAAGACCCAAGGCCTGCTGAAGTGCTTGCAGAGGCTGGAAGAAATACAGAATGGGTAGTAGAGGAAGGTAGTTCTAAATACCATCTAAGGCCATGTGATCAGTTGCAGAAATGAGGATTATAACTGACATGTGTACTTCTGTTGTATTTTGTTAATAATGTATTTGTAACGATATTTGTATGTTCTTCCCATTTCCTTATCATATGCTGCAACATCAATTAAGAGACTATCAGTGGTTATCAGATGTAAGTTTGCAATACTAGAAAGATGTCCTGCAAGGGACTTGGCCACTATTCTGAATATATGATATACAATGCATTTTTGATTGTATGTGGGATAGTTATATTTAGGCATAATTATGACTTGGCTATTGTTTTTCATTTGGAAATTAATCATGCCATAAGGCAATATGATGATGTGCCAGGTTGACAAGGGGTGGATTGTGATGGCTGTACTTGGTTGTCAGCTTAAGTATACATGGAATGAACTATAATTCAGAAATGCAAAGCACAGCTATGATCTGGACTTTGAGGCAAGAAGACAACAACATGCCTTTGATCCAGATCCTGAGGCTGGATGACACATGCCTTTAATCCAGACCTTGAGGCTGGAAGACACATCTTTAATCTGGGTCATACCTTCTGCTGGAAGGACAATGAAAGAAGGAAGGTAGTGTGTTAGTTCTGCTTCTTCTGTCCCTCACCGTGTCCTCTGAATTTTAGGAATAACACCACTAAAGCAATGGTGGGAAAACACCACTAAAAACACACTAAAGCCTTCTGATGGGAAAAACACCTATTATCTTGTTACGATCTCTTTTAAAGAAAATTTCATCTGACCTCAGCATGAAACCACAGTCAAACATCTCCTTTTGTGTCCTTAAATCTCTCTTTAATTGTTATTATTCTGGGCTCCCTCCCACCTGTGGGACAGGGAGTAATCACTCCACCCTCAAAGTACAGTGGGCTGTGGAACTAGCTAGGTAGACACATTGTGTGGAGGAGGAAGAAGGGGAGGTGCCTGTGGAGTGCAGGAAGATAGCAGGGTCAGCTGTTGGATCCAGGGGTAAGTGCTATTGAAATGCTTATCACTGCGGATCTGGAAAAAGGTCTGCTTTTACCACTGAAGGGAGGACCAGGAACCACTGTGCTGTGTCTTTAAGCACACTGTAACCCAAAGGGAGGTGCTCTTGTCACTCAGGCCTTACTAGCCAATCAGGCTTTCCAGGTGACCTGCCAATCAGAATTGGTGCAGGGCTCTTCCGGCTGCCGGCTTAAGGACTGGCTTTGAAGAGGAGCTGGCACCCGTGGTTTTGCGTGCTGTGCTGTGATTGTTGCTGCAGGGAGCTGAGCAGAGAGCTTGGGCGAGCTGGGAAGGCAAGATATGGTAAGCTAGGGACTGCTGTCCCCAGATGGGGAGGAGCAGATGGCAAGGTGCGGGAGCCAGTGTGGTGGGTCCTCTTCGGATCTGGGTGGGAAACTGCAGCCAGATTCCCTGTTCTGTGAGATCCACTGCAGTCCTTGCAACTCCCAGGACCCAGGGGCAGGCCCCTGAATAACTTTTCTCTGTGGGCTGATTCTCAGAGCATTGGGAACAGGGAGCTTTGTTTAGAAACATCTTTCTAGTCAAGTTCAACATGCTTTTTGTACATCCATGGAAGCAGGTCGCCAAACTCGGGGAGGCCTAGTATCTTCAGTATCTTGGAGACGGTCAGCACTTTGCATTTTACCTTTATGTGTAAGATCTATTTATTGTTTATTTTGTTGAGGTTGTAAAAGGCATCTCGTGTGTGTGTGTGTGTGTGTGTGTGTGTGTGTGTGTGTGTGTGTGTTGTGTGTGTAGCACTTGACTACTATGCTGTGATGTAGAAAGTAGAATTGGTGACATAAAGGATTTACCAGTGCTTAGGAGATCGTACTTCTCACTAAGCAGAATTTAGCTGAGGGAGAATTGCCTCTAAAACACCCAAAAGATAAGTATATGCTAACCAGGCCTGTTAGAGATTATGAAACTAGAAAAGACTTTTGTACACCAGGATTGCCCAGACATTTGGCTCTAAACCATTACAAAGAAACCAGCCCTGTTTTACAACCAGCCTCCAGGCCCATCCCCATATCAAAGAGCAAGCCCCTAACAAGCTGCTCTAGGAGGCATGCATTACCTGGTCACAACCAACCTTTAGGCCTAGTGTGCCATAAATTTCCAATATGACACCAGGTGACAGCTGTTAGAAAAATAAAACACTGTTGTGTTAAGGACTTGCCTGATGAAGCAAGGCTTTCATTTAGGCCCTCAGGCAGGGAGGAGGAATATTCTTGGGAGAGCTAGTAACAGCCTGGGACCTAGGCCTTGGGAGCTTTTCCTAAGGGCCTGATGTATTGACAATAAAACAGAGAGCCTTTTCTAAAACCAGGAATTTGCTTGGGAGCTGGTAATGGTCTGGGGCCAGGGCATTAGTGGAGGGTTTGCTTCAGATCCTGAGAATCCATCTCTTTCTCCTTATGGAGCTATGGTTATCACCGTGGGCTTAGTCAGTAACATTTGAGTACCCTGTGTTCTCCTTGTGTAGTACTGTTTCATTACCCTTCTGAATTTGTCCCATTGTATCATAGTTTCTGTTGACTTCATAGAAGTCTCCCATTATTTTCTTCCATTCCTCCCACCCTGCCCCCCCCACCCCCGAACTTGTATACAAGGTGCTATTTTTCTCAAGAAGCTTACTTGTCATGGGACATAACATGTGCAAGACCCCAGCTTTATCTTTTCTACCTTCTATTTGTCCTATCTTTCTTGCCCCTTGCCACCTTCACCTCAGCACCCTGTCACTGAAGACTTGCTGCTTCAGGTCACTGGTGTACTTAGGAAATTATTCTGGGAATATCTTTGCTGTGTAACTCTCCCATCTGCCTAGGTATTTTGACTTGCAAGTTGTCTGTCTCTAAGTTGTTCAAAGTGTAACCTGGAGCATGAACCTAAAAGCTACTTAAGAAGGACTATACACATAGAATGCAAATATGTGTAGGCTGTCTCCTCTGAGCATTTGCCACAGATGTGAATGCATACTATCATTAAAGGAATTTTTCTTTATTAATCCCCTAAGTGTGTGGAGTGATTTCTCCCAAGGAAGGCATATTAATTCTAAAACAACTGTATTACCAGCTTTTTCGAAAAATGTTTCTGATACAAACTCTTATGGTAACTCGGGTGATCTTGATTCCAGTCACTTGCTCTACAGGGCAATGTCCTTGTTGTCCCCTATTTTAGACCTTTAAAATTCTTAAATTAAATGACTGTACCACACCAGAGTTTTAAAATGGTCCATTTGAGTCATACTATCACAGGAAAAGAATTCACATGTGGAGCATTGCTTCTGTCCTCAGACCAAAATAGTTTATTGTGGACACTTTAGGGGAAACAGGGCAGGTAATCAGCTGCTGGAGTCACCATTATGAAAAGGGACCTGATTGTGGTAGTGGAGAGTGATTTTGTAATTTTCCGGCATTTTAAAATTCATGTCATATGAATGATAACAGACTAGATTGTGTGGGTGTATAGTATGGAAGGTTATCTTGAGCCAGTGAATATTGAATTTGTAATCAGGTAACTCACCTATGCAGATATGTTCAATCCTTCTTAACACAGTTATGTCAGCTCAAAGAAACAGGCCATTGATTGTACCTCTCTGTGTCAGGTTACAGATCTCAGCAGCCAACATATGCACATGGTCAAGGTCAATCTATCTCTTATTAATGACAATTCCTCTCTTAGGGAAGGACCTACTCTGTTTCAAAGTCAGCATAGCTAGGTTTGTTTTTTTAATCTTAAAAGTACATTATTTTATCTTTTTAAAATTCACTTATTGGTATTACTTTAAAATATTTTAAGTGGATTGTTGCTCTTATCTCTATTTGTTTCTGTTCTCCAATGTTTCTAGGTCATTAATAGTTTCATTCATTTTCTCTCAGATGAGGCTGATTATTTATTTCTGTGTAGAGCAATGTCTCCTATAGTTTAGGCTTCTCTTGTGCTATGTAATTAAGAATTGCTTTGAAAACTTAATCCTGCCTCTTCTGCTTAGTGCTGGAAAGACAGTCCTGCAGGTCCTTCTAGGCTGGGCTTTCACTAGTGGAGAAGGACAATAGACCAGTTAATGAGTGACCTCCAATCACTTTGACTTTTAGTGGAGACTTAAAAATGAAGAGGGACCTATTCAAGAATTGAGTTCATTGACCAACTTTGAATCTGAGAGAGTCATAGTGCAAAAAGGGAGAGGCAGGCAGAGGGTAAGAGCTTTCTACTTCAACAGTAGTTGAGATTAGAAATGTGGAATTAGTCTATTTTAGATGCTCCATAAGCTGTAATAGTACTAAACTAAAATAGAAGATCTGGGTAAATGGTGTGACCATGGCTAACAGGACTGTTATTTTTCTGGTTTAAGATGTTCATCTTTAGAGAAAAGGTATGAGAAATCTTTGATGTGCTATATTACAAATCCCTAGTCTCTGGAGCACATGGCCATAAAGCCTGTTTCAACTTTTCAAAATAATTTTTGAGGCTATAAGAGAATGAGATCCTTTTAGTAGTCAAAACTATTTTCTACAAAGTTGAAACATCAGTAGAATTCAAGTGAATCTCTCCAATGTATCTGGAACAGCCCTCCTCATCCAACCCATGTTCTGTTACTGGTAAAGAAGAGAACCAGAGTGTATACAGGATGAGTACTGGTCAATGAATTCTTGGAGTTTGAGTTTGATTAGAATCTTGATGTTCTCATGTTAACAAATCATGGTATGTATTTCTAGCTCTGTCTTTGTGTCTTCTTTTGTCAGTGGTGCCATTTATGCTGTTGATTTTATTAATTGTAATCTAATTATATTGTTCATTTTCTGAAAATGATAGACTGTCACCAATTTTATATTCAGAAAATGTATGAGTTCCTTAAGTTTTTGTTGGTTTGGGAAGTTTTTGTGGAGAGACAGTTTTAGTTTTCTCTTGATCTGAGATGCTTGCCTCTTCCTGTTTTCTGGTATATCTGTGTTTTCCAGTTGCTATCTTCATGTTTGTGTTTTTGCTGCTTAAGTGATTGTTATGATTAATACATTGGCTTTGGATCTTAAAACCTTCTCATGTATTATTGCCTCTTTTTCCTAATTAGCCCCAGATGGCAACATAACATAGCCTAGAGTCATCTGAAGGAACACGATTTGAGGGTGTGCCTAGATCAGAATATCTGTTTACTGAGTCTGAGAGAGATTGTATTGATTTTGGTTGTTGTGGGAAGTCTTCCACTGAGTTGGCAATATCTCTGAGCAAATGGGCCTGGGCTGGATAAGAGAGCTAGGTGAGCACGAGACAGTGGCAAAGCAAGAGAAAAAGCCAGGAAACAGTGGTTCCACATGTTTTGCCTTCAGTTAGTAAGTTGAGTTTCTATCCAAAGCTTCCACAAGTAGGGACAGTGATGTAGGGGTATCAACCAAATAAACCTGTTTATTATCTGAGTTGCCTTTGGTTAGAAAAGTTAATCACAGGGACAGATAAGACAGTTGGAACAAAAAATGGTACCTCAAAAGAAAAAAGTGATTTTTTTTTCTGCTAAAGACCTGGGAATGTTGACCTTTGGAACAATGTTGAAGATATGAAGATATCAGGACTTAAGATAAAAAAAAAAAGCCATAGAAAGCTAGACCAGATCTTAATTAGCTGTTATTGTAAGACCTGGGAGATGGGACTGTTGAGAGTAATGGCAGGCAGTAGAGGTTAAGATCATAGGATTTTAATGGGTTATAGGCTCTACAGGGAACCATGGAGTTGTCCTGGCCTACCTACCTTGAGAGACATGTGTCATAGGTTTTTCAGATTAAGCCCATGGTTCCTGGGGTACAATGTGCCTTCCAGTTCCTGACAGACTGATGCACTCCCTCAGGCAGTGAAGCATTCAGGCTACTTGTTTCTCTGTGTGATCTCTTAGTAGTCAAGGAGGCATGGAACTTAACAGGACAATTGGTCTTACATCTATGTTTGGTAGTCAGAGACCCAGTGAAGAGATTGTGAGTGTTCATTGCATGAAGCATTAAAGATAAGTTGGGTTGCGTTTGAAAACACAGGATGTTGAGACATCCAAGCTATGAGATGTCTGCCATGCAGAGCCACATATGGGAAATGGAAGTAGTAAAAAAAATAAGAAATATGAGAAGTTGCAGGGTGTTATGGAACATTTTGATCATACTTTGATAATAAAGCTTGCTTGGAGTCAGTGGAGAGCTAGCCAGTAGCTAGCCCAAAATTACCATAGAGGTTGGGAGGACTGTGGACAGATAGGAGACAGGGAGTAGTCAGGTAGGGCTGAGAGGATCTTGGCCTTTTTTGGATGGAAGAACTGAAAAGAT